ACTATTTTAAAAACACAAGTTAACTATGAAATGGTTTACCTAGCTAGGGATGTTATGTGGTCTAGTCTTAGACTAATAGATCACAGTTAGTCTTAAGACCAGTCTGAAACTAAAAAAAATTAGTCTGCTTCAAATCTTAAGACTAGACTAGTCTGAACTAGTCTGACTAACAAAGATCAGATCTAGACTGAACTAAAATAGACCAGACTGAACTTGTAACATTTCTATGTATAATTATTTTAAAAACTCATAGAAATATAAAAACTCAGATACTATGTGAGAGTTTCGTCCTTGCATATATAATTTTTAAAAACATAAGGAGCAGTAGTTAATAGATTCTTATAACCTGAGTACTTTGCTAAATGGCCAAAATAAACTATCAATTTCTGCTAAATAATTAAAATAAACTTTTTAGTATCAAATAATATATCCTTATTTACATTAAGTTAATTAAAATAAAGAAATTAAAAGAGAATGTCTATTTGTACACTAGTGTACGCATACACATATAATCAATATCTCAAAATTTCGCCTATGCAACTGCTTTTGGAGCTTTAATAAAAAAAATTTCTTGCTAAATTTTGCATATATCTAATGCCTAGATAAAATCTCAAGCCTCATCCTAATCTTAATCTTAATTAGGCTTTATTTTTTATAAAAATTAGTTTAATTTCAATTTACATAAATTAAAAAGACAATTACTATTTGTACACGGGGTGTTTGTACACTAGGTAATACAAAAGTATTAGAAAAGCCAATCAAAATTTAAGATCAGGTGTAACATGTAAATCTTTTGTGTAACAAATAATTTTTTTAAAAAAATAAAAAAATACTAATATCTCAAAATTTCATCTAAGAAACCACTCTTGAGGCTCTAATAAAAAAAATTCCTCGCCAAATTTTGCATATACTAATGCCTAGATAAAATCTCAAGCCTCGCCCTAACCCTAAAGTAAATAAATTTTCTTTTTTTTTCTTATAAAAAATTGTTTTTTTTTAAAAAAAATTAAACCCGTGTTTCAAACACCCCGTGTACAATTATAAATTTTCAATTAAAAAATAATACGTACCAGTGTACAAACACCTAGTGTAAATTAAGTAATTTTCAAATTAAAAACAGGTATAATCAATAAACAAATTTTATTTTGTTTAAAATATTATACAAAAGATTAAATAACTTACCACTTTCATTTTGGATATTTTTATACGGGGTCCGTATTATTTCACCGACAATAATTTGGCTAAACCCTAACCCTAAATCGGGCTAAAATGTCGGTAAAATGAGATAAGTGTCACCAGTACAACGATAGCAATATAAATGTACAAAAATCTATCCCTTACACCGTCCCGCAAATTTGCCTGCATAAAGACCCAATCATCTTAATCAGATATCACGTTTTTGACCCTCAGCAATAAATTATTATTAAATTCTGATGATACGTACATTATAGATATTCAAACCTCGTCAAGTATTTTCATAGTGAAATAATCGAAGACCCCCGAAAAGTAGATGAAGAATTCAAAGGACACAAGTTTACACATTGCCAAAAATGATATTGGCATAAAGCCCTTGAACAGGCTATTCAGCTTGCTTATGATACCATATACCCTTAAATTATAATTTACATACGATCTGCCAGAAAAAGTGAAAATTTTAAAAATTCGCAGGCAAATTTGCCTGCAAGACGGTGCGTATGGGCGGATTTTTTTGATTTCAGTGATTATTAAAAATAAATGATAATAATTCATAAAATTTGATCCAATCATTTATGTGATAATGCGTAATCACCGGTAAAGTTGAATGTACAATTGTATTTGATTGGTCAATCACTTCCCTTATCTACAAATTTCTTATGAATCGCTTATGAATCGCTTATGAAACCGTTTATAAAACCGTATAACAAATATAATAATTACGTGTATTTAATTGGCCAATTGCTTTCTTAACCATAAATTGCTTATGAAACCGTTCACAAAACCTATTATGCTTATACATAAATCATTAATAAATCATTACCGTACGTACATATTTTTTTAATGATCATATTGATTTATTTATCATATCATATTGAAATATTATCTATTCCGTCATATCACAATTTTAATAGTCACAGCATTCCCATCAAAAATTTTCACCCATACGATTCGAATTCAAAAATTTATTAAACTTTTTATTACGTCAATTATAGTTTTACAGCTAAATTCGAATTTTACTCCCAAAATTTTACCCGAAATGTTGTCGGGATTCATACATTGTATTGTTGGAATTCATAAGCTGATTACGAGTTGCTAAATGGTACGTATTATAATAATGACAACATTTCGGGTAAATCATACGATAGTTTTAAAATTTGCAACAAATACTAAATTTTGATTGGTTGTTTATGACGTAATTGTTTTGCTAATTAGAACTATCACCAGTAAAATTAATATAATAAATAACCACGTGTTAAAAACTAATTAAAAATTCAACCTTTCTGTTCAAAATTTTAATAATCATCTAAGAATTCAACCTTTTAACTTTTCAAACCTTTAATAATTTCTATTTTCCTAATAATGTATATACGTGTATTATAATAAACTAAAACCTTCACACCAACAAGATAGAGAAGAAACACTAACGATATTAGTAAGTTTCGGCGGTTTTCTGTGAAGGAAAAGGTTTGTGGAATATTTTTTCATATTGCTTTTAGGTATGTAAGATAGTTAGAAAAGAACTAGAAGCGTGTTCTTCTTTTCTAACTGCCGTAAATTGCTGTATAAGAGACCTCACAGATATCAGACCCCCTTCTCATTTTTACTAATTAATTTCTTTTTTTTACTAATTAACCCGGGTCTTTTATACGGCAATTTACGGTAAAAGCTTGTGTAAAAATATTAACGAGTCATAGGGAACGCTAACGGTAAATTCCACCCCGTCTTTAAGAAAAATAAATACGGGGTGTGTAATTTAACCCCTATGAGATTTTTTGAGTAGGGTCTGCTAGACTCTCGAGGAGGAGTTGGCTTTCTTTCCTATGATGACGAACATCTTTTACTCACGGATGTATTCTCTTATTATAGTTTTTTACTACATAAAAACAGCAAAACTCGATCACAAAACAAGATCATAAATACTTATACCATTAAAGTCTTAAAAATCTACGCGAATACGACAAAACTTGGATCGGAAGTCCTCCAGACATATACGAACCCGGATCCGATACACGAATTTAATGAAGATAAAAATTTTATGTTATAATAGAGTTCGTAATAAAGTAAATAATTTTTTAATTAATTAATTGATTTCAATTATTTTTTATGATAATTTTTTATGTAATTTGATAATTTTTATGTAAATTGACAAATTTTTATTTAAATAAAATTTAAAGTATTAAATTAGTAATAATATATAATTGATTGAATCAGAGTTATAAAGAAAAAAAAATTAATGAAATTAATTTATTGGTACATTTGATAAAAACCAATTATTTCTATTTTCCGAGTTTAAAAAAATATATTATTATTAATAAAAATAAAAAAATAAGAAACTTTATTTCTTCTCACTTTTAAATAATTAATAACCTTAAAATTCGTCAAGAAATAGTTATGAAAGCTTATGTCAAATTACTTGGTTTCCCCACATATTTTTAAATAGAACCAGATAGTTGATCGTTTTTATTTTTATCCAACTCAAAATCGACCAACCGATTTTGAAAAAATTAATCTATTAAGTCGTGAAATCGACTTAGCCGATTTTTTAAATTATCAGTTATCGAATAGAATACATATCGATATTATACGTAGCGACGTGATTAATGCATATTAACAAAAAAAAAAAAAAAAAAAAAGTTATTTTACAGGAATTACATTAAAAACATTGCTCTAGCTAAATTATTCTTAAAATATTCAATCCAATAACTCTTCTTCTTCTTCATTGAATAACGAATCAGATTTTGTAAGGATATTACATGTACAAATTTTTTCAAGATATTTAGGATTTTATCCAGGACAATCTGAGCCGCCAACTTTCTTGCTGATCTAATATTACTTGAGCTTGCGTGTGCGACTAGTAAATCATGAATATAGTACATCGCTGAATATCAGTTTCATCCGATGTATGATTTCTTTAATTAAAAATATTAATAATTATAGTTTAGTGATAATACGAATAACATGACATGAGAATACTTCTATAAACAATGATGTAATTAAAAAAAAACTATTTTTTTAACTTTTAATTAAAAAAAAAAAAAAAAACATCAAAAATTAACTTTTAATTAAAAAAAGACATTATATTTATTATATTAAATATTTAAATTTATAAAATTATTTTATTTAAAAATTATTGAAGCTTTTTGCTTGTAAGATTGATTTCGAACTTAGTTCAAGCACAATGTGTTTGATTTTACATAATTTAAATTCACGTGATCAAAAACTCGAGTTTAACATCTTCACTATATCAAGAAATTCACTACTAGGTTATTTGAAAAAAATAGCAAATGACTATCAAATTTACCATCCCTAATTGAACCTCTATGTCAACTTATTTGACCAATAATAATATTCATTAGAATATGTTAATTATTAGTTATCGTTATTGGTTTTTTTTTTTACTAATAGAACTTAAAAAAGTTATAAAAATAAAACTTTGGCTTAACCACTAATTAACACAATTAAATAAAATAAAAATATTGCATAATACAGTACATTAAACGATATTACATATACAGAGTTTTGTCATGAATATGCATTATTCTTTAAATTAATAATGATTGAATTGGGACAAATTTGAATCTTTTAATAAGTCGATTAGAATAGTACAACAAAACTTGAATCATGAGAAACATGGCCTTAAAACTTTAAAAAAAGAGGCACTTATTCATGATACTATAGAATATAGTAAAAAAAAATTTATATTCTTTTTTTAACAATTTATAACATGTATTTGGATTATATGAAACTAAATTCATATACCGAAATTAATTTTTGCTATCCTACATCTCCTAAATATTATTATTTTACATAATAAACAATGTATTCATATCCATTTCATGAGACCTAAAAAAAGACAAAAGTTAATAATACACGTATTTATATATGATCATATAATATCAATTTATATAAATTTACAACTTACGTGCTAAGTTGTGGCTTTTGTGTATATTTTTGCGAAAGAATATCTCTGATACTATTCAAAAGTTGTTGATATGTTTGGTACCTATTAGCCCTCAACCTATAAAAAGCGACAAATTAGATTAACACATTTAATTAATATTAATTTAAAAAATAAATTATCATCAATACTGACGCTGTAATAAATGCGTATGACATGGCTCCGGTATTTTGCCCAGCTTCGTTAGCATCCGCAGATGTCTGAGAGTCCTTACACCTAATTTCATATGGTGATTAGGTCAACTTAATATTTAAATAAAATAAAATAAAAAATAAGTAACGCACAGAAATGAAATATACTTAAACTTACCCACTAAACATAATAACATCTGCCGGACTTGATTTGTTTATTTTATTTTTCTCTGCTACCTTGTTTCCAGACATCGCTTTCTTTCCAAATGACATCAAAGTTGTTTTTATACCATTAATATCACCTCGCAAGTATGACATTCCAGCACTCATAATAGCACTGCCTCCATCAGCAATAACACTATGTTCTTTAACTACACCATGCGTAGAATATATGTATGGCAAATCGAGAGCAGTCCCCGAATGGCACGAATCAAAAATAGCAGTTAACCTTACGCCTATATTTGTAATAAAAAACAATATTGCGTATAATATAAATAAATGAATAAAAAAAAAAAAAAGGTCAAAATAGAAAATGCTATTACCGGGTAAAAGTGGTCTCACCATTATATCATGCATTTCCTAAAGTAATTATAATATTAACTTAAATAATGATATTTTTTAACATGTTATATTTTTCCGATTACAGATTAAAAAAAAAAAAAAACATACGTCATCAATAATTTGTCCATTTTTTTCATAATCAAGAGGTAAAATAGTTTCATCATATCCATCATCTTCGTCACCATCAAGATCTTCTACTTGACCACCATGTCCACTATAATGGAAGAAAAGACTAACAATAAAAAAAATAAAAAAAAAAAGTATTAGTAACAAACAGAAAAATGAGGATATGTTAATAGATAAATACAACATACGAATCGTTTGGTCTGGCATCCAGTACAAGCCATTTCATTGCTGCTATAATATTTCCTCTAACAGGAACCCTTGTCGGATCACTCTGTTCGTCTGTTAAGATTAACATGTCGGTTTCTCTGAATCCATACAATTCAATCAAGAACCTTTTTACGTTATGAACGTCATTAATACAACCTATTCAAAAATAAAATAAATTGAATTTATCGAGATAGCTAGACATGATTTCCAGTTTCAAATCAAGTTACCTTTCAACTCAGCTTTAGTATTAAAATAATTAATTCCAATCAACAATGCCTTTTTACGTCCTGTACAATTCGATAACTGATAGTTTGAGGGGGGTTGTATATTTGGATTTTGATACATTACATAGCCTTGGGAAGGTGGAGGTTGGGCATAAGCTGCGTTAGGTGGTTGTTGATATGGTGATGGTGATTGTTGATATGGTGGTGGTGGTTGTCCATATGGGGGTGGTTGTGAAGGTGGATTATAATATTGTCGATTTGGAGGTGGTGGTTGTGAAGACGGATTATAATATTGCTGATTTGGAGGTGGTTGTGAGGAAGAACTATAGTATTGTTGATTTGGAGGTGGTGGTTGTGAAGGTGGACTATATTGCGGTTGATTTAGTGGAGGTGGATCCCATTGTGTAATTCCGGTTGCCTGATCTATATATATAAATAAGTCTCACTTTAAATACTAGTTCTATCACCAGTTGATTCAAATTTTACCAAATACTTACTGACAAAATAAGGCTTCTGACTAGTAGGATCATATAGAGATATCCATCCTGGTGGAAGTGCAGGTTGTTGAGGTGGAGGTGGTGCTTGAGAGCCAGGATAACTTGGATTATTGGGTTTTTTTTTGCCGTATATTTTTTCGTATTGCTGTCCAGGATACATGTTTGAAGTAATAAATTAAATCTGAATGAGACTCGTTTTTTTATCAGTCCGTAAAAAATACATTTAAGGTTAATTTCTACGTGTAACATTGCTACCCGTAACGGGATAGCCTGACCACTGTTTGCTCTCTTGTTATAGTAAACTCTCGATATAGTAAAGACTAATTAAAATCTCGATATAGTAAGTTAGGTTAAAGTCAGTCTATATAAAAGTAATGCTATAACGAATTTGACTTAAACCATGTTTCATAAACCTGTCAAATATGATAAAGTAATATATTTAATAATTTCTCAATACTAATACAAAGCCTGTTCAACATATATACTGATTTTGAGAGATTCAACAATAAATGAACGTGTATACAAAAATATTGTTTAATGATTTCTTCTATTATTTTCTTGCTCATTTCTTAGATAATTAATTCTGTAATTCACTCACAAGTTTTTTTTTTACCATAACATTAATTTAACAGTATGCAATAGTAAAATTTACAAATCAAAAATTATTATAATTAATAAAAAGTTTAAATCTATCTAAAATCAAATCTAAATATTATATAACCTTATACATATCACTAAACAACTCTTCCTAAAAAACTTTGTTGCTTTTTTTTCCTTTTTTTTTTTTTTTTTTTTAATCATAAAACTATACATTTTCATGATACGTAATGAAAATGTGGTATCTGATTAATAAATTAACACATTTTTACATTTAATATTTGCCAAAAATGAGTATGTGAAATATTAAGAACTAGCTATTTGACTAACAATCCAATCCAGTCCTTCAAACAATCTAAATAATTAATAATAAATAAATAGAATTAATATCTTAAATAATATAATTCTTTCTAATTGTTAACTTACCCTTCACCAGTTAATGCACAACAAGCCTATAAATAAAGTTTAGTAAACATATGAAAAAAAAAACGTAAATCTTTGTTTGGAACTAACTCAAAATTCTTTCATATAGGTACCTGTATATGCCATTGTCTATCCCGCAAGCTTGTCAAATTCAATGCCTCGGAAATTTGTGCAGCTGTTAATGCACCTTTCATGTCTTGTTTGTTGGCAAATACAAGTAATACAGCATTTTTAAGATTCTTTATTTTTAATTAAGAAAATATTTATAATTATTAATTAATGAGTTTTCAACTTTTTGAACAGAAATAATTTTGTGAATATACCTCATCCTCCATCATTGTATGTAATTCTGCCCTAGATATATGTAATCGATCCCTATCTGTACTATCAATAACCATGATAACAGCTTTTGTTTTTATATAATATGTTTTCCATGTTGCACGTAACGAGTCTTGACCTCCGAGATCCTAATATTTAAAAATGAGAGAATTAGATGGAGCACGCGTTATATCGTTATCGATTAAATGAAAGATTAAAAAGTACATGTCACTCTTGTTATAATGAAGTCGTTTATATATAGTATTTTCATTATATCAAAAGCTCTTATATAATGAAGTTTATAACTTATATAAATTTAAAAATCTTTGCTATATCAAGAGAATATTAAATTAATATAATTGGATAAAAATTATATATATATATATATCTTCATTATATCAAAATTTATTATATTTTTTTAAAATATATCTAATATCAAGAGATTATTATATAACTTCATTTAATCAAGTAAAAATTTCTTCATTATAAGCCAATACTCAGAGTTCACTATAACGAGAATGACTTATATTATTAAAAAAAATACTTGCCCACATTAAAAAGTGTATATTTTTATAGATTATTTCCTATAAAATAAAAAAGAATATAAGTTTACATATTTGATCAAGTATGAATTGAAATATTATTAATAAAAAAAAAAGTTGAATAAACATGCCTCTACATTACTTCCTATAGTAGGTGTTGTAACGACTACCTCATTCAATAACCTATTTCAAAGAGATAAATATTAAAGGGAATATATATATATATAAATTTCTGATAAATCACTAATTAAATTCTTACAATTTATATAAGACGGTAGTCTTTCCCGCATTATCCAGCCCAACGAGCACAATTTTTACATCCTCTTTATTGGTAAGCTTGCGCCACAGTTTAGCAAGAATAATTCCCATTATTTTAACGAAAATATGATAATCTTTTTCCTTTTTTTGCTGTTCAATATAATATTATATAAAAATCTGAAGACTGATAGTACAAATAGTGATTGATTGAAAGTCAAAAAAAAAACATTCAATTCTCGACAATGAAGGGTCCCGACATACATTAATAAATAATTATTTGCTGCATGCAGATCAAATCTGATTGGTTGTCTAATTTTAGTATTTATTTGACAGTTTTAGAAATCTATTTGATCTCCCCTACTCGCAATCTATATCTGCGGTGTGTATTAAATTTCAACCATTCATCCATTCATCAAATTGAAGGAAAAAATTAATCGAAAATAATAGATATTTGATAATAATTTACCGCTTAACCTTTAACAATGATCAGACTTGTCTTTAAGCTTCCAATAAAGGATCCCCTTGAACACGTGAATAATTTTTGAAAAAAGTTCAAGATGTCAAAGGGAGACAGTCGCGCTAAAAAAGTCGAATATTTCGAAAAGCTCAAAAATTTATTGGAACAATATACTTCCATTTTTATCGTAAATGTTGACAATGTCGGCTCTAACCAAATGCACCAAATCCGTCATAGCCTTCGTGAAAAGGCTTCTGTGTTGATGGGAAAGAATACTATGGTCAGGAGAGCATTAAAAACTTTGATCCCGGATAATCCTCAATATGAAAAACTTTTACCTCATGTGAAAGGTAATATTGGATTTGTGTTCACTAAAGGGGATTTAAAAGAAACAAGAGATTTGATTTTATCGAACAGGGTACCTAATTTATGGACTTTATTTAATTAAATATTTTAAAGTATCTAAAAAAAAAAAAAAATTTAAATTTAAGATGTAGTAAAGTTTCTAATTAATAATTGTAATTAAAGGTCCGAGCACCTGCTAAAGCTGGAGCAGTCGCTCCAATTGACGTATTCGTCCCAGCAGGTAACACCGGTATGGAACCAGGAAAAACCTCATTCTTTCAAGCACTTGGTGTTCCTACCAAAATCGCTCGTGGTACAATTGAAATTATCAATCAAATGCATTTGGTGAAGGCAGGTGCTAAAGTTGGTGCATCCGAAGCTACTTTATTGAATATGTTAAATATTTCCCCATTCACATATGGGTTGACAGTCATACAAATTTATGATAATGGTACTACATTCGTTCCATCCGTTCTTGACATCGAGGAATCTACTTTGATCGATCATTTATTAAGTGGTATTAAGACGATTGCAGCCATTTCATTGCAAATTGGATATCCTACAATTGCATCGGTCCCTCATTCACTTATTAATGGGTTCAAGAATTTGTTGGCTATTTCTATTACTACAGATTATACTTTTGCAGCATCTGAGAAGGTAATTATTTAATTCATAAATGAAATTATTAATTTAATGCTTTCTAATTAGTATCACATTATTTACATTCATCATATGCTAATTACTTTCATACATTACTTACATTACTTTAAGATTAAAGAATATCTCGCAGATCCATCTGCTTTTGCTGCCGCCGCAGCACCGGTTACTGAAAAAGCTGAAACAAAAGAAGCTGCACCAGCCAAAAAAGAGGAGGAGGAAGAAGAAGAATCCGAGGGTAGTGTAGGAATGGGTGGTCTTTTCGATTAACAAGCCACTTATATCGATCAATTTGTTGAATAGAAGATGTCAAATTTTGTCAAAGATATGAATAAATTATGCAAATAAAATTTATATATGACAATTTTGTTACAATGTTTTATTTTTTTGAATTACACTAAAACACATTTACATTCAATTTTTCTTGACTTTACAAATTCAATTTTGATACAAGTTATTCTCATTATAGTGAAGTGATCGAGCTGAGATAAAAAATCTTCACTATAGCTTATATCGAGAGAATACTATATAAACTTTATTATATCGATCGAATAGTTAATAATTAACGGCAATTAATTTTTTTAAAAAAATTCTTCACTATATCAAGATCTTCACTATATCGAGAGTTCATTATAATTAGAGTGATTTTGAATTGTTTACTAACTTAATACTAACTTTGAACGAAAGGTATCTCACAACTATCTAATCAAATTTGATGAAATTTTTTTTGTTTGAATTTTACAGATCTGTAAAATTGAATAGAAGTATTTATTAATTTAGTTATACTAACAATAATTAATTTATAGTTGTTTATAATTGAATTTTTTGTTTTTAAAATTCAAATTCAAAATCATACATTAAAATATTAGATAAATAAATTCATATAAATAGTACTTATTAGTTATTATTAGAAAAAAACCAATAGTGTTTAGATTACACAATAAGAATTTTTTTTTTTTCTTTGATAGTTATGTTATAAATTTTATTAAGTTGTGTTTTTTTTTTTTTATATTTAAGGTGGTTTATAATGCTAGCAGGATTTTATTAGTTTTGTATATAGAAAGAATTATACATTAATAATCTTTACTATTTGTAATTATATAAAGAGTATACAACAGGCTATACATATAACTTTAGTCATTATTTATTTTAAGTAGTTTGTTATACAAATGATTAGACCATCTGATTAGTTCTATACTATACTACTATACCTGTAACTTGCCTGTAAGTTATCTATTTAAATACTCTGTTTATTAACTCATATTAATCTAATCCTAACATTACTACAATACCTAACCACTTAAGCTAGCTAGCTTGTTATAAATTAATTTACTCAAATTAGCTTAGATCCTCTTGAATTGTATTATACCTAACATATTATAGGTATTGCAAAGCTAGTTAACTTTAAAACAAATCTACTAAAACAGTCTATATTCATTTTATAAAATTATCTAATTAAATCCTTGTAGTATTTATATTGTTATAGAAAGTGTATCTTAAGCCTTCTTATATACTAACTATAACAGGAACATAGCTATCTAGAGACTTTAAGAAGCGGTGTCAAAGAGGAAGGTATAATTATTATATCATTAAAGAATCATACTTATCTATAAAGAGGCAGTTCATTTATAATTATTTATAATCGATATATTTTATTAAAGATAGATATATTTAGAGTAAGATACATGAGTAGTTATGCTCTATAACTATAGGGAAAGGAATTTGGGCTCTATCCATTATTAGGGAAAAGGATAACTAACTAATTTTTTAAAATATTTTAAAATATTTTAGAATTATTAGAATATTAAACTTGAGGAAGAAAACTACTTGTATTTATATCTTTTAGTAAAGCTTTGTGGAAGGGTCAACTAAGAGTCATTAAAGGATCATCTAGGTGTTATCTAGGTGTTCATATTAGCATTACTTAGGCATCATTTAAGCATCACTATAAATAAATTGGCACAGTAAATGACACAGTATTTGGCATAGTAATTATTATATTATATTGGCCATCACTTGAGTTTTCTCTGTATTATATATAATAACTTTGGATAAAACTTATATCATCATGTAGCTGTAGTTCTCATCTAGAAAGTTACTTAAAACTATTTTTCGATCTGAATGCTTCTTGAGAGACTTCACTTAGAGGTGAATGTTTTCTATAAATTTCTATACTATAAAATATCTATACTAAAATAATACAAATATAA